GTGTCTGTGTGTGTGTGTGTGTGTGTGTGTGTGTGTGTGAGTGTGTCTGTGTCTGTGTCTGTGTGTGTGTGTGTGTGTGTGTGTGTCTCACCTGTACAGCCGGTTGTCCCTTTCCTGACAGAGAAGCCGAGGTCACAGTGACAGATGAACGAGCCCTTGGTGTTTTCACACTTCCCGCTCAGACAGATGTTTGGATTCAGCTCACATTCATTCACATCTGACACACACACACACACACACACACAGAATAAAGTTACACAGAAGTAAAAAAAAGAGACATTTGACATTTAACATAGTACTGAGTAAGTACCTTATTTCTAGTTTTAACGTGAAATAAGCATGAATTAACATCTCGTGCCTCGTGTAATCGCACCATCAGTGTTTCGCTCGTGGAAAGATGTGATTAAAACAGCTTGTAAACAAAATGTCACGCAGGCAAGTCATCAGTGTCCACAGCTCGTTATTTGCTAGAGAAATAAAGTCTAGAGAAGAGCATTTCGTGAAATATTAGACTATATAGCTACTCATTATATTTTACTTGATGTCTTAATCATTTAATGTATATTTAAATAAATCTTTAATGAAACAAGTTATGACAGCCACTGTGTAAATGATAATATTTCAACAACAAATAGAAATTGTATAATTTAGAAGTTAATTTAAAAACTGCACTGAGTGCAATTTACATGTTTGCATACAATTTTTTTATTTATTTGAGTGGTTATTATAGTTAAAAATAAATAGTAATTAAATTTAAGTTTGGACTCTGTTGTTAATTCTAACCTTATAGCAATGTAAACGGGCTCCCTATAGTTTAGAGCAGAAGCTGAGGTAGGTTTTTATAGATTTTTTCTGAATTTGTTCAGTAAAACATTGTTTAATTAAAAAAATATATATTTACAGTATATATAAAAAAAGAAGGCCTGTGTTATGGTGTGCACACAGTGCTCCAGTCTATTTCAGACACAGTACATGTTCAAATAACCATGCTAGCATTTGTGTGATGAATGCTGATGCTCTCCTGTCCTCAGCCTCATTATGAAAGAATGAATGAATGAGTGAAAGAGTGTGTGATTTACCCAGACATGATTTCATATCCTCAGACGACATGTAGCCGTCGAAACACAGGCACTGGAATTCCCCGGGGATGTTGGTGCACTGACCGCCGTGACAGATGTCAGGACTGTCCTCACACTCATCGATATCTACACACACACACACACACACCAGAGGCCAGAGGTCAGAGGTCAGCACAGCTTGAGTGTGTGTGTGTGTGTGTGTGTGTAATGTGCAGTGTGTGTGTGACCTGTGCAGCTCCTGAGGTCAGGCATTAGGGCGTAACCGCGGCGACAGCTGCACTCATAACTTCCCTCTGAATTGGTGCAGAACGTCTCACAGCCGCCGTTCTCAATGGTGCATTCATCGATATCTGAAACACACGCACACACACACACACACACACACACACACACACACAAACACACACACACACACACACAAACACACACAAACACACACGTCACTGACTGCGTTTACATGCATCAGATTCTGTTTAAAGTCCATACTTGGCCCCTCAGTAATACCGTATTGGCCCGATTATAAGACGACCCCCCCTTTTTCCAGATGTACCTTTTGAAAAAAGGCTTTTTTATAAGACGACCGCGTTTTTACAGATGTATTTCCAAGAAAAAAATATGGTCTTATATTCGGGACACTACGGTATTATGCATCCAGACGTGGGAATATTCCAGTATATGGCTGCTGTATGTTGATCTGCATGTGTGTTTCCTTTCCTGGGAGATTCCCAATGCTGCCACTGGTTATATACTGTACATACACTACCGGTCAAAAGTTTGGGATCAGTAAGACTTGTAATGTGTTTTAAATAAGTCTCTTCTGCTCATCAAGGCTGCATTTATTTGATCAGAAATACAGAAAAAAACAGTAATCTTGCAAAATGTTATTACAATATAAAATAATGGTTTCTATTTTAATATCTGTTAAACTGTAATTTATTTCTGTGATGCACAGCTGAATTTCCAGCATCATTACTCCAGAATAAAGTGTCACATGATCCTTCAGAAATCATTCTAATATGCTGATTTATTATTAGAATTATCAACAGTTGTGCTGCCAAATATTTTTTTTGGAAACTGCGATATTTTTTCAGGATTCTTTGATGAATGAAAAGTTAAAAAGAACAGCATTTATTCAAAATATAAATCTTTTCTAACAATATAAATCTTTGCTAT